CTGTGGATTTAGCAGTGGTGCGTATGCAACTTATAATGGGACTGTGAGCAGTTGTTATCCGACCACTCTCATGGCTGTGTTTTAGAAACTCCAGCGTTCTGGTCACCTTTCTCGAGCCAACCTGGGTATTGCAGTCGTTTCGCTTCTTCATGCTTTTCCTGAGATCCAAGATGTCAGAACTTGTGGGCGGCCACAACAAAGACTACTTTTATTGGTCTTTTCTTTGATGCACGGTAGGCCGCGGAGCGGTTGAAATCTGAAGAAGGCGATGCTCATCACCGGATGTCCGATAGCTGTGTGAGAGGTTAGGCACTCTGTTGAAGTTTAGGCGCACCATGAGATGCAGGCCGAACGGTAAGCCGTGGAATTTGGCATGGTCATTGACAAGAGGATAGAGGATTGAAAGGTCTGCCAATCTCGGAAGAAAAGCTATAAACACTACAGAATTCGAGCTCAAAATTTGGTGCAATATTTATGACACACCCTGTACCTTGCTGATATAGCGTTTCCTCGTGCCGGCGGTGAGCGCGTCTGGGAACCAGATGGGCCTTCACCAGCACCCTCATCCTAATCTTGCCGTTGCTAGCGCATCTACTCTCTCGCCTCCATAACCCTTTCTCTTTCATAGTTCAGATCGGAGAGAAATTCAGAGTAAATTTTCTCGTCGCAAATTTTGTCTTTGAGCAGATGTTAAAGTGGGAGCTGCTGGGAGAGGAGTCGTTGACTAAATTACCTTTATGCTCTAAATTTATCTACTTTACCACAACAATGAAGAAACACACACTGGAGAAGAGGAAGAGAGAGCAGAAGTTGTCATTGCATCTTGTATTGTTGGTGTCTTAGGTTATGTCTTCTAGTGTAAGTTGTCTTGTTATCTTGACGAGGTGGCGAGCCGACCGGCATAAGTTTGTCGTGGCGTTGTTGTAGGAGTAGGATTGAATTAAGGTAATTGGTGCGCGTACGCTTGATGAGAGGGGCGGGGCTCCGGAAGAGAGAGGGAGGAGTTGAATGAAACTAAACTGAAGGTGACACCGGAGCGGAAGACTGCCGCTGCCGCCCGGAGCGCGCTCTTTATACCCCCAGAAGAGGGCGGTATATATACCTGTGCTAGTAGGCGGTCCGGTGGGCATGGCAATGTTGGAATCGATTGTAGTTTGTGCGCGGTAAATTTAAAATATAATATGTCGCAGATCGTCACTTGTTTGTTGTAAATTTGAAGGGGCTTAGAATCAGGGGATTTGGGGGTCCAATCCATATCATGACTGAGAAGTCATGACAACTCTAATCTAAGTCCATCAATTATAGAAGCCGTGTTGTGAATTCCTGAAAAAGAGAATGGATTTATCAAACTGTTGGAGAATTCGAGAGTTTGCCGATACGTATGCCTATCAGGAGCTACTCCGTTGCGCTGACAAGTGTATCTTGCAGAATTTCCAGGTTCTTTTTTTGTTGCTCGAAGATCAATTTCAACGTGAATGACTACCTAGGTTATTCGTTCCTTGCATTATGTGTGTTGTGAGATAACTAGTTACAGCGTACAAAGTTAGCGCATGGTAATTCCGACTTAGGAAGGGAACAAACTTCCGAAAACCACGCCGTGACACTTCTGTGATATGGTAGAGCCAAAGAGGTTCAACAGGAAGGAGTACAAGAGCTTTGGTCACATATACTGAGACGTGTCGTTGGAAGGTGTTTAATTCTGTCTGGACATTTTGAGGAGTAGATAGGAGTTTCTGGACTATCCAGAGTGCAGCAGAGGGGTGGGATATTGCTATGATAGACTAAGACGCCTGCAAAACTTCTTGATCGCGTCAAAACTTGTGGTTGTTCTGCGGTGAGAATTTGAATGAATCATAGTTTTTACCCCATTTTCATAGGATCTTTTTGCCCCATTATTCCGAACTCTCGTTCTTTCATCCTCATATTCAACGATAGACAAAAGCAGGGTCAGTTAAGGTAGAATTACGCCTTTCTGCGCGCGATGCCCTCTCACGGTTACTCTAATCTATGACTCGTGCATTTCCATTCGCATTCACATAGATTGTTTGACTTGAGGAAATTTATCCCCTCTCACCTTAATTCAGTAGCCGAATATTCCGGATAAGCCGCTCTGCGTTCCATCATACAGCAGTTATACTGAATGAATCTACAAAACTAACGCTATCTCTTCAATAGTGCAACTTTCGAGAGCTTCCTAGGCGCACACATAAACCCTAAAATGTTCATTGCAGATTTTAAGTTCGTGGTTAGTTAAGTTCGACACCTGAAATCTAGGAACAGTTCTTCCAAAAAGTAAGGGGGGGGGCTAGTTATTTTGCTCGTTCCTATGTTCAACTATGCGCACTACTTCTGGAACACGTGCACCCCCGCTGCGTCAACCCTGGAAATTCCTCGTCAACCATCGTCAGCAACTGAACGCGCTAGCAAGGCAATCTCTTGCCGAGAGTATGTCGATGAAGCGAAGGTTTGTGATGGTTCCAAGATGAAACTGACATAAACTTGCAGGACAACTATCGGATTTATGGGCTGCAGGAGTGTCGACAACCTATACTACTCACACGCCTACTAGTGTCATAGTATTGACCAACGCGCAACTGGCATTGTCCCCCAAGCGCGAATCATAACAATCACATGACTGAGGGGCGTGTCGGCAAGCAAATAACCGTTAAGATCCCCTAGCCCCATTTATCATGTCGATTGGCTACTCTGCAGCCCGTAACGCGGTCGACCCTCCCGCGAGTTTATCCGAGTTTTTTCTCATGCTTCAGTCACCGGTTTCATCAGGACTTCCTACTTCTACAACTTTCTGTGAACGAGGCACCACATATTCATGGACCACGTACCCAGCCACGAAAAGTATCACTGATAAAATGTTGTAACAATCAGGCAACGCAAGCAAATAACCTAGCCCCCCCCCCTTACCTTTGAGAAGAACTGTTTCCTAGATTTTAGGTCGAACTTAACCCATTGAACCACAACTTCAAAAATCTGCAATGAAATCCTTTTAGGTATTCATGCCTAGAAGCATCTCGAAAGTGCACAATACTGAAGAAGCATAGTTATTTTTAGATTCAATTCAAATACCTGCTCCTCTGATGACACGCAGAGCGCTTCACTCGAAATAATCTCGACTAACTGATCAAAGGTGAGCCGATAAAATTCCTCAGTCCCAACAATCTTCTGAAATCGAATGGAACTGCACGAGATCACTATTAGATAACCTTGAAGGCATCGCGCGCAGAAACGGCGTAATTCTACCTCTAACATGAATCGCTGACTTTTGATCTATCGTCTAATATGAGCATGAAAAGAACGAGAGTTCAATGATGGCAAAGAATCTAGAAAATTGGTAAAAACTATGATTCATTCAAATTCTCGCCGTAGAACAACCACAGATTTTGACGCGATCAAGAAGTTTTGCAGGCGTCTTAGTCTATCATAGCAATATCCCACCCCTCTGCTGCACTCTGGATACCGTCCAGAAACTCCTATCTACTCCTCAAAATGTCCAGACAGAATTAAACACCTTCCAACGACACGTCTCAGTATATGTGGTCTTCATTGGGAGAAAGATCTCACTGTAAAGTGGCGAAAAGCTACGGGCGCCATAAGAAGCGCCCGGACTTTATTTTGTGTCCACAAAAATTTGAAACAAATTAATTTTACAGAACAAACAAAACAATTTTTTAAATTTTCTATGATTTTTCAAACATGTTGTTATTGCAATGAGGTTTCGAATTGGCTGACATCAGTTCCGTTACGTATTTAAATTTCGTCAAAATCAGCGAAATTTCTGCATTCTCGATCCCTTAGTAGTATTCATCGAACCCACAAATACTAAAGTCTTATGTATTCAAATACAGATTGTTTGCAAACCAAGAATCCGTCGTCAAAAAGAGCGGATTCTAGTCTCAAAAACGTGGACCGTTATATTAGTCCATGGTCCTGAGCCCATTCCTGTAGAAAGATAAAGTTGTTAAGATTTTGCTTCCATAGAACCACCAGCTTTCTCGGGGATCTCTTCTAGATAGAGCTTCGCCTTGATTTTCATGCTTTTATCGGTAAAATTCATCGGAGACTTGCTCGATGCTTGATAGAGCTAAAATCATCATTCTTCAGGAAAGTCTATTATTGCGGGTGTTTCTCAATTATGAATGTTACTGAGAGCTGAGGTACACAGTTGAAGGCACTTCTGAAAATTTTCACACGCTTAAAGGCAAAGTTCGGGCTCAGACCCACCTAATAAGCCCTTAAAGTGGCTAGAAGTGCATGGGACGCAACTGCAGGCGACTCGCCAAGTTCCCGCATCGAAATGCGTCACTAAGGCGCTAGGGGCCAAGGACTTTGACACGCTCCACCTGTTGCGACACGCTCCGCCCACCGCTCGATATCTTGTCTGCGTCGCAATGTTGATCTGCTATGCTCTCTCTTCTCGGACTTCTCTACCGCTCTCCGCGCTCACATTATCTCTCATCTCCCTGCCGGCCTTTTGAACTTCTCCGCAGCGTAGAGCAAAAGGCTCGTATTTCCTGTGTATTTCACGATTTTTTTTTCCTTTTTTCTCCACTGGCGGTCCACCTCCTACCCCTACATCACATTTGAGTAGAATTACTTCACCCATTTGAGCCTGAATCTTGCCTTTAAAAGGTGAACATTTTTGTGAGACAACACGGCGTTTTAGGTTCGTCGCACCTCAAAAAAATGCGTAGTTCCATACATTTCCCTTCGGTTCTTTGCTTGTCCTGAAGGATGAGAGTTTGTCAGTTTGACATGTGATGATATTCAATTTCTTGCTGAATTTACTACAGTTTGAGCGGATTTCCAGGAGCTTTCATGCTGTTTGGCACTCTCGTTCGAGCTACGGTCCTTTTTGGTCGTTCCCTTTCTGAATAATTCTCTGCACCACCATATGTTGGTAGTCCGTTTTCATTCTCTCACGGAATCGGTTTAAAGGAGGATTGCACGGAAAGAACGAAGGTCGAAGAAGGGAGAAATCGCCTAGTGGGGAGAGCGGTGAATCTCTTGAGGGTGTGGTAAGTCGTATAATTCTATACCGGCTGTATGTAGACTGTGGCCCTCGAAGAAATCGTTTGGAGCTCATGATCCGCCTCCTTGCCAGCCGTCGCAATTTGAAGAGGTCTTCGCCAGAACTTGGGAAACAAATGTTTTCTTCTACACACCATAATTAGCAACAAGCAAATATATTGAAAAGGAAAAAAGCGCATTGATTCCTCGTACAATGTTTGGAACCATGCAAAATATCACGCGCGCGTAAGTTTTCGTCACCCATTACATCCCAAACGGACTCAAAACCCTAGGTTCACGTGCCGCCTGAGGGTTCCTTCCGAGCTTTAGAGCTATCTTAAAGCGAGAGATTACGATAAAGTGTGTATGCAGCGTGGAAGTACATGCACCATTGGAAGCAGTAGTCAGGGGCCCAAGGAAACGAAATGTTGCGTTTTTGTGGTCAAAGGTGCGCTAGTTGCAGCGTACAAGGCTTGCCATTCCTTTCTGAGCCCCGCCACGGTCTGTGCTCCGCCCCCAGCAGCAGCGCCCTTCGATTGCCAATGTGACGAGATATTCCACTTCCAGAGTGTATCCTATAACTTTTCATGGGATGCGTGATCAATCAAAGCATGATGCTTGCTGAAATGATAGAGGCTATCAGCATAACATGTGCAAACGACCTCCTAATTGGTTGCTAGCTCGTCCATTATCGGAGGTCAACGGGCAAAGAAAGGGTCCCATTTTGCGCCTTCTTGACGGATTTCTTTGCTTTTTTCGCCACTGGGGCATTATTCAGCATCTCCACTTCCACTATGAACCCAGTCCAATCTTATCGTAATCCCTCGCTTAAAGGAACTTTTCGCGAAAAAATCGAAAGAATCGGGTAAAGCGCGCGATTTCGGAGAGTAGAGACAAATCGATCGATAGAATAGGATGGAGTAGAAGTGTAAGATGTGAATGCAATAAAGCAGAAGGCCAGAAAGAGTTTCTAGGCACTCCAAGAACCAAGTGGAAGCATCCCCGTCGCCAGCACGTCCGTGGGCAACTTTGAACGCGTAGCAGCCCTTTTCGATTTTTCGAATTTTTTACCAAAACGAAAGCAATATTTCTGTTCTTTTCATTCTTATCGTGGATAATGAGTCTCAAGCCAGTGATTTATGGCTGAAATAGAATCATGATTTTTCCGCGAAATATTCCTTTGAGACGTCGTTTATCTTACCACAGATCCAGCCAGGTGCAATAAATGGCCTTCCCCCAATATGTCGACCGGGTGCAGAAGGTAAGCGACGGTAGTAGATATTGGCAAAAAAGTATCTAGGCATCTTGTTGACGAGGATGAGAAATTTTCGGTTGTTCAAATATTTCACGCTAAACGATAAGGATCGTGCACAGCAGGTTCGGATTACCAGCGTCCAAAAATGTGCACAGAAGGACTCCCTTCGACTAGATTGATAAAGTTTATCCGGGAAGTATTGGACCAAGTTTTAAGGGTTCGTCCGAGCCGAAGTCGATGTCTAAGCCCGTTTTAGAGGAGCTATCAAGCTCATTAGCGCTCATACCATATAAGAATTGCAAGTTGTCTGCTATGATATGGGTGAACTTTGCTATGGGTGATATTCCTGTTTCGACCTCCCGAGTTCAAAAAAGGCCTAAATAAATTTGCCACCATACAGGGGGGGGGGGGCAAAAAAAGAGTCACTTTGCCTATGGCGCACATCATCAAATTTTTCTTCGCACAGGAATGCCGCAGTTAATGAATGTTTTACGGCAGAATATTCCTTAGGTGAGCAGAAGCAGCCCCTACTTCAATGCCCTCACGGTCTTCAGAATATGACGTCATCTGCCGTCGCCGTTAAGCTCCGGCCTGAAGCTGCAACCTAATTTCTTCAATCGGTTAAGCGGTGAATAGCTTCCCAGAGACACTAGCTGTGCAAGACCGCTTTTGACCAGCGTTTCAGGGACGTCGTAATGGTCTATGGTACCTCGACGACCTCGTTGAGCTCGTACCGTGAACCATGTTTCCGTGGGAAAATCTTCTGATGTCGTCGGTGTAGAAGGCTGTCATGTAGCCTTTTGATAGCTCTTAATATGCAATTGGGCTCATTTGATTTGGTTTCGCAGTTCGAGATTAATTGCGTTTTGAATGTGGAGAGAAGTGACTCTTTTTTTTGCCCCCCCCCTGTATATAA